CCAGGCTGGCGCCTCCCCTCAGGTGCCTCCAGGTCTAGGTGAGAGGAGAGGCGGACCGGGCCAAGGGGATGTGAGTGGATTAGGGTGTTGGTTAGGCGAGCTGTTGGGTAGGACTGTGCCCATGTTCATGGCTGGGGCGGCCCAGCTGGAGGCTGCTCCCGTTCCGTGAAGTAGGAGATCCAGGAGGAATAGACGGATGGACTTAGTTTGGACATACTCACCGTGGAGCTGGGTGTCCAGGTGGGGATGTCTGGGACAGTGGGAGTCCGGGAGTTGCCAGTGTTAAGGAGCTAGAGAACCATGGGAGTAGAGGGGCTCACCAGGAACGGAGAGTGGAGTGAAGGGAGGGCCCAAGGTGAGGGCCTTCCTGGGTACCTCTCAAAAATCAGAGCGAGAATGGGGCATGACCTGGTCTGCTTGTAGTAAATGTAGGGATTGGTCACTTTGGAGCAAAGGGATGAACCAAAATGCCTTTTCTACAGCAAGCTGCCTCGAACTCAGCCAGATGGCACCAGCATCCCTGGAGAGCCAGCCTCACCCATCTCCCAGCGCCTGCCCCCCAAGGTAGAATCCCTGGAGTCTCTCTACTTCACCCCGATCCCTGCTCGGGGACAGGCCCCACTGGAAAGCAGTCTGGACTCCCTGGGGGACGTCTTCCTGGACTCAGGCCGGAAGACACGCTCCGCTCGTCGACGCACCACGCAAATCATCAACATCACCATGACCAAGGTCAGGCTGCCGGGAGTGGGGCTCCAGGCCAGTCATGCTCACTTGCTCGTTAAGGGCGTCTTTCCCATCGGGTCCTCGCAATAGCCTCCCGAGGGTCCATATCTTGCAGATGGGAAAACTGAGATCCCCAGAAACACAGGGACTTGCAAGGCCTCTTTTGTAGGGAAGGGGCAAGGCTGGAATTGGATGCATGCTGGCTCTAAGGCTGCTCTCTTTCCATGGGTAGCACTGACCCTGTGCAGGCTGAAGGGAGAGACTATGGAGAAGTTACAGCCCAGCCCTGGGCCTCCAGCACACCTCCTGGGTGGCTTAGATGTGTTGTAGCCACCCAGAGGGCTGCCCGCTAGGCTGGGGACTCTGGCTGGCCCTTGTTTCCGTATCCTGAGGAGGTTGGGGAGTGGGGAGGTACCTTTGATGCAGCAGGTACCTCTTTCGTGTGAGTTGCCCCTCTGCTGCCAAGAAGCTGGAGAACTAAACGGTGGGCAGGGTCATGGCAAGCTCGGGGTGAGGGACAGTGAAGGCTGTGGGATGAGCCTGACTAGCCCAGGAGACAAGCATTCCAGCCCTGGCTGTGCCACTTGCTAGCTGTGACCTGGAGGCTGATCACTTTATTTTTTACACCTGGATTCTAAAATGGTCTAATACACACTCTGCCTTCCCTCCTTCAAAGTATTGTCAATAGGCAAGAGAGAATGCAGGATTTTTAGCAACAAGGCCCATTTCTTGCGGATGTGCAGCTAAGGATCCCTGCAAAGCGGTATGGGAACACAAGCATTTTAGGAAGAGGAACAGGAGGCTGCTTTATACTGTCAGGGGCTCACCCCACCAGATTCATTCTCTCTTCCAGAAGCTAGATGTGGAAGAGCCGGACAGCGCCAATTCATCCTTCTACAGCACACAGTCAGCCCCTGCCTCCCAGGCCGGCCCACGAGCCACCTCTTCTACCCAGTCTCTAGCCCGCCTGGGCTCTCCTGACGATGGCAACTCAGCTCTGCTCAGCCTGCCTGGCTACCGGCCCACCACTCGCAGCTCTGCTCGCCGCTCCCAGGCTGGGGTATCCAGTGGGGTCCCTCCAGGTGAGGGGACCATAGGGGCTTGAAACACAACAAAAATGAGACGAGGAGCAGATCTCGGCATAGGAAAGGGACACACTTTGACAACCCCAAGGCGCACCTCGCCTGCGCCTCAGGCTGCTGCTCATCTCAGCCAGGGTGAACGGGAAATGTTCGTGCAAGGAGCCTGGGATTCCCAGCCTGATAGTGATGCTCAGCTCAGGTCCTCCGTACACCCTGTCTCAGGGGGTAAGGGGTGCCGGAAGAGCCCTGCTGGGTTCTATTCTTAGATGCTTCTTGAAGGCTCGTGCCCTCCAGGACCCCCTAGGTATCAATTCCTGGTCCTCAATTAGTTCCTCTCCGGTGTCACAGTCTCTCCAGAGGATCTCTTTTGACCTCAGGGGGAGAGCAGTGAGCCAGCCCCCAGGGTGGAAATGGTCTGCGAGCCCCACTCCTGGATCTGCCAGGACTCTGAGGCCCTAAGCCTGAAGTCCACGGGACAGGAGTGGGGGACGCAACGGCTGGCAAGAGGCCCGGGACCAGGGGGTGGCCCGCTGCCACTACCTTCACTCTTCCTGGCCTTCCAGCCCCCCCTGCTCCCATCTCCCTGCCCTCCACAGGAAGGAACAGCTTTTACGTGGGCACTTGCCAAGATGAGCCTGAGCAGCTGGACGACTGGAACCGCATCGCGGAGCTGCAGCAGCGCAACCGGGTGTGCCCCCCCCACTTGAAGACCTGCTACCCCCTGGAGTCCAGGGTGAGCTTGGGCCCCAGGTCTCTGGCCTGCTGCGGAGGGTGACCTGCGTCCATGCACTAGCTGGCATAGAAGGGGTCGGGGTGAAGTCACCACAGGCGGGCCGGAGTGCGAGGAGGAGGTCTGCCCCAGCCTCCTGCGGCCATCCTGCAGGGCAAAAAGGAAGACGCTGGCAGGGGAGGCCTTCGGCCCCAGAAGGCCTGAGCTGCCCTCCGCGCCAGGCCCGTGAGGAGTTGCTGAGTGGGCCTGCCCCCCTGACCACTCCCTCCCGCTCCACCCAGCCTTCCCTGAGCCTGGCTACCATCACAGACGAGGAGATGAAGACCGGGGACCCCCGGGAGACCCTGCGCCGAGCCAGCATGCAGCCGGCCCAGATAGCCGAGGCCGCGGGCATCACCACCCGGCAGCAGCGCAAACGGGTCTCCTCGGAGCCCCAGCAGGGCCCCGGGACCCCTGAGGTATGCGACCCCGGCTCTTTTGTTCTGTCTAGCAGCCTGCCCGGGTCTAGCCCAGTTCCCCCAGTTGGAAAAGTGGATTGAACGGGAGCCTTCGCTGTCCGAGGGCTTGATGCGGGGACTGTTGGGAACCGGGGGGTGGGGGGGCAGTGTTGACTTCCAAGGTCCACTCAGCTCTGAGACCCATGTCTGGCTTTGGATGCGACCCTCTCTTCCCCATAGTCTAAGAAGGCCACCAGCTGTTTCCCCCGCCCTGTGACTCCCCGGGACCGACATGAAGGGCGCAAACAGAGCACTACGGAGGCCCAGAGGAAAGCCGCCGCTCCGGCTGTTAAACAGGTGAGTGGGGGCGGGGCTGGAGGGAGCCCCTGGAGGGGCCTCGGTGGCAGGGCCCAAGTGCAGCCCCGTTTGACAGCCCCTCCCTCTGCGACAGGCTGACCGCCGCCAGTCCATGGCTTTCAGCATCCTCAACACGCCCAAGAAGCTCGGGAACAGCCTACTGCGGAGGGGAGCCTCAAAGAAAGCCCTGTCCAAGGCCTCCCCCACCAGCCGTGGCGGCACCCGCCGCTCTCCGCGCATCGCCACCACAGCAGCCAGCGCCGCCACGGCCGCCGCCCTCGCTGCCACCCCTCGGGCCAAGGGCAAGGTGGAGGCACTGACAGGGAGGGGGCTGGTGGACTCTTAGGAAAGTGGGTGAAGGCAGGGCCCGGCTAGGCCGCTGGAGGTGGGCTAAGTGTGGGCGCTCCCTGTCTTGGTTACCTGCTTGTGGAGGAGAGGAGACCCGGAGCTGCTTAGGCCTAAGCCTAAGCTGGCATGATAAGCTCAAGGTGGATGTGTCCAGCTCAGCCCCAAGGAAGGGATCCTAGTCAGGGGGCGGCGGAAGTCGGAAGAGGCCTCCTTGAGCCATCTGGTACAGGCGGGCATCCCAAGGCTCCAGCCACGTGACGGTGTTTCTCTTTTTCTCTTTCAGGCAAAGCACTAAAGGGCCAGGACCAGTGAGAGGCCCCACCTGTGTCCTCAATGCCGACCTCGCCTGGTCCTTTTCCTTCTACTGTCCCTTTCAGTGCCTTCTCTCAGCTCCCAGGCCAACAGTGGCCAGACCCCTAGAAACAGTGATGCCTGCCCACACCCCGGCCTGGTACCTGGATCTTCACCAGAGCCTTCGCCAGGTGAAGAGATGTGTCCTCAGAGTTGGCCCTGGAGGCCTGGAGAGTCTGGGTCTTCTCCCTACCTTGCCTCATGTTTTCTTAGAGCAAAGTCACTTCTCCATCATAACCAGACTTGAGGCTGGCTTTGAGTGGCTGGGCCTAAGGGCCAAGTCAGTCCGCCTCTGGATCCAGAAGAGGGACCACTGGAGGAGCAGGCCCTGGTCCCTGCTGCACCTGCAGGGCCCTTTGCTTTTGAAGTCCAGGACTGGGTATTGACCCTAGTGGGTGCACCCAGAGGTGCTCCCATCCACCCAAGAGCTCAGATGCCCAGAAGATGCTCTTTTCCAGAACAGGTGGGCCCCAAGCCTGGGTGCGGCAGCAGGGGTGGGGGGCAGCCTTCAGCTGCAGCTCATCCCCCACCTTCCCCAGGCTTACACTGGGGTGGGATTTGGAGTGATGGGAAGGTTTTTAAGGGCCAGGGATGGATCTTTTCTAAATGTTATTACTTGTAAATAAAGTCTATTTTTCTCCCTTAAGTGCTGAGCTGTCTTGATTGGTGTGGGAAAAGGGAAACTTAGGCTCTTTAGAGCACATCTTTGTCCCTGCCAAGTTTTCCCGACAACTAACTACCTGCCTTCTCGCCAATCCTTTCTCCTGGCCCTTCTAGGGCCATAGGATCTTTCTTACACTTCTCTTTTGAGGGCCAGTATCCCCTGGTTTTGTCTTTCTTTAGATTCTGAGTGACAGTCCCTCTCTTCGCACACTCCCTCCTAGGATGAGCCAAGTCCTGTACGCGGAATGATGGTTTAAACGACCCTGTACGCGGAATGATGGTTTAAACGACAGCAGGTGTTGTCATGCCTCCATTGAAAAACCATTTATGCATGCCCACTGTGGGCCCTGCCAGGTGTGACAAAGATGCAGCTGTGGATCAGAAGCAGCATTTACCACCATCCCTTCCCTGGGACAGTCCATTAGAGGGAGGCCTGAGCTGCAAGAGCATGTAGACCTCAGTGAAGAGGTGACGACTCAACCAGGCTTTGGAGTTCACCTGTCGTGATGACGGGGCAGGGGGGACCTGCTGGAGGGCAGGGCTTCTTGAACAGAAGGCGTGACGGTCTTCAGCCCAGCCTGGGGAAGTGAAGGCAGACAAGGATCAGGCCCAAGGGTGGGGACATCTCTTGTCACCTTCCTGTAGGCCACGCCTCCCCTGCCTGAGTCTTAAGTTCCACTTGGGGGCATGGTGGACATTAGCTGGAGGCCACTCTGGGCCGAGCCCACCCTTTCCTCCCCATATTGCTGCTCCTGTCCGTGGAAACCTTCCCTCAGGTTTCTCACCCAGAGCTGAGCCGGGACGACGTGACGCTGGGCGGTCTGCTCAGGATCAGCAAAGACACAGGAGAAGTTGGTGTTGCGCAGGGTGGGGCTCAGCTCCTCTAGCACCAGGGCCCTCCGTAGCTGGGTGCGTGCACCCCGGTACTCCCTGCTGAAGCAGAGGACGGAAGGCCATGAGAGAGGACCGCAGGAGAAGGCCCCCCCCCCACCACCTCCTGCTGGCCTCACCACTGCGACCCTCACCTGGTGCTGCCCTCTCTCAGCCGACCTGGGAGGTGCTCGATGAAGGAGCCATTGCCCAGCCAGTAGAGGATGCTGAAGGGGAAGCGGCTGCAGGCGGCACAGGACAAGGTCAGCGTTCCATCTAGGGACAGGTGTGGCTGTTAGCTCTTGTGCAGAGCACACCCTCCCCTCTGCCATGCTGCCCTGCCTCCCATGCCCCACAGTTCAGGAACCTGGAGTGCTGCTGTGAACACCCACCAGGTGCGGAAGTCTGCTAATGGGGAAGTGTGGTTGTTTACAGGGAGGCCCAGGGCTGAACAAGAGGGATCTGGGGATGGGTCCTTGGTTCAGGTGAGGACTCCTGAGCCTGTTTCTTCAGGATGACCTTTTCTAGTGCTCGGCTCTGGTGATTCTAGGAGCCCTGGCCAAGGAGGCAGCAGCAGCGGACCACTGCTTTGAGGTGGCCAGAGGGCAAGGGGGCTGGGGGTGGGGCGGGGCGGCGCAGGCTGGGCCTTGGAGCCTATTGCAGTCAAGGCTCTAGGAGTCCTCTGATCATCCTGTGTCTGAATTCTCTCCATCCCATTGGATAGGGAGCATCTCGGGAGCTGGGCCCTGCACCCACACTCGATGCTGGGTGGGAGGGAACATGCCGAACGCTCTGGGAAGCTGGCCTGGCTGGTGCGGCTACATGGCAGAAGGTGGGGGTAGGGGGCAGCTCAGGAGTCAACCCCACCCTTGGACCCTCTGTGCCCACAACCCACCCCCTGACCCGTGTCCTTTTGGGCACCCATCAGAATTGCTCCTTACTCAGTGGGACTTCCACTTCCGGCCAGGTCACCTCCAATGCTGGGCACCGCTTAGCTGTTGGGAGCCAGGAGGGGCAGGGGTCCTTTGTGATCCCAGCTGAGGCACTGGCAGTGGCCTGAGGTACAGGCGTGGCTCCAGCCAGCTGACAGACCATGTGGGCACACAGAAGCAGGACCCGCAAAGGGCTGCGATCTGAGGGCAGGACAGTACAGAGGTCAACTGCTGTCTGACTGCCAGGAATGCTCAGCATCCTGGCCTGGATGCAGCTCTGGCCCAGAGATTCCTGGGCTCTGCCCAGGGAATCGGAGGAGCAGAAGGCGGTCCTCAGGCCCCACCCACATCTTGGCCCTTTTTGAAAGGAGCACAGGGAACATTGGACTGGACCCAGAACCACAGCATCTGGACAGAGGCTGAAAGCCATAACACAAGAGCAGAATGGAGTTCCCCTGGGGGGTAAGGCTCAGGGCCGCCCGCACCGCTCCCTTCTGTCCTCAGACCCCACCCCGCCCGCCCATGCCAGCCTCAAGTCCCACCTGGTGTCCAGTTCTGTCTCATGGTCTTGACGGATGTGTCAGGAGCTGGCGTGCCTGGTTCTATTTATCTGTAACAACTTCCTCTCTGGGCTGGTGGGGGAGGAGAACATGAATAAACTACTTCTCTCTCAATTTCTCAGTGGCTGGATCCCAGCCATTCCTATAGGCCTGTCCTTCCTAGGGGCTCCACAGCCCTCCCTTGGTCTGAACTCTGAATGGGCTGCCAGGCACTCCAGGCATCCCGCAGAGGCTGGGGCTCTTTCAGCACTTGGCAACAAAGCTGCGGACCGTCTAGTGACAGTCTTCACCACCCTAGCTCTTAGTACCATTAACATTATGCTGATTATGGGTCCACCCTAACCCCTTCATTATAGGGATAGAGAAACGGACCCACAGAGGGGCCAGGAACTTACCCCGTCACAAAGAGAAGCAAGGCCCTCTTCGCTGGAGCTGGTTCTGGGAAGGGCAGGATTAGTGAAGTCCTTCTGGGAAAGCACTGTCCCTCTCCCCTCTATTTCACTTTCGCTTTTTTGTAGCCAGGGAATCAGCAAGCACTGAGTTACTGACAGAGGTTACACAAGCATGACACCAGCCTGTACTCGGCACCTCTTCTGAAGCCAAAATCCGTGCTGGCTTGGAATCTTCCTGCTACCGCCCAGGTTTCCCCATGGTATCAGACTGGGTCTTTAATGCCCCCTCAGCTTCACCCTCCCAGGGGCCCAGATGGGATGAACTCAGGAAAGTCTCTCACAGGTGGATTCTTCTGTCCCAGCCAAGAGTCAGGACTTCGGCGTCCACCTTTGCTCTTCAGAACCAGCCCTCATGTCCATGTGAGCAGGGCTCATGTTTCTTCTTTCACATTCACACCTCTATTCAAGGGGTCAACTCTCCTCGGCACTGGGGACCCCAAGTTCGATCACTTTGCCCATTTCAGGCTCAATGTCACACCAGCCCGTCATCCTGGCCTTTCTCAGGCTCTCCACTTCCTCCAACCACCAACCCCCTCCATCCCCTTCTCCCCGCCCCCCCCAAAGCCTCACTTCTCTCTCATCCCAGCCCCTTGGCCAGAACTATAGGTCTAGGTCCACTAGGAAGTGTAGATTTCTCCCTACCTGGCTCTCGAGAAGCCCTGAAGAGCCCTCTTTCTCAGAATCCCCCCTTCTTGAAGCTCCGCTCAGTCCAGCTGTGTCCGGCCCCACGTGAGCCATGCCTCGGGAACTGTGCTGACCACACTCTTCAGCCTTGTGAGCAGGAACCTCTCAGAGCCAGGCTGAGGACTTGGACCAAGGGCTGGAGCGCTGGCCCTAAAACGAGGGGAGGACACTTCCCGGGGAAGAGGAGGAGCAAGCAGCCTAGCGCCGGCTCCAGCAACAACGGAGCTATGTAAACGCACCAGTCTGGTGGCTGACGGGACAAGCGGAGCTGGGGCTGTGGCAGGGCCAGGACTAGGGTGAGGCACGTGAGGCACCAGGGATGCAAAGCTGGAGGCGGCACTCATGATCGGGGTCGTGCCAGTGCCTGTGGAGGCAGAAAGACCAGGACAGGTGACCCAGTCCACACACAGATCAAGCATGAAGGACAAGAGCCAAGTGTCTGAGGTTTGTGGTCTCTGTGAGCCGGGGGATGGGATGCTGGGGCAGAGCCAGGGAAGCCAGGAGATGGAGCTCAGTTTGGAGGATGCGTCATGAAACTCGTCCCTGGGAAAGCCAGTCTCTCCGGCTGTGTTAGGTCAGGAGGCAAGGCTGCTGGGGGCTTCTGAGACACAGTCTTTGGGGCATGGCATTGGGGGACGGGAGGGAGAGGAGACAGGACTCTACCTTGGAGTGGAACCAAGGTAAGAGTCGGGCTGTGGGGAGGACATGGGACCCAGACTTGCTGAGGTAGGAAGAGAGAGCCTTGGACAGCCTAGCCTCAGCTTCTCACGTGAGCCTGACGTGTAGGGGGACAAGAGGGAAAGCATGACCCCTGGGCCCTTCCACGGGTCCTCGTTCCACTCTCTGAGGAGGGGCCCACTGACATGAGCAGTGGGGGGCCAGGGGAAGCCACAGCCGGGCGAGAAACGCCAAAGTTGAGGGCGGCCCAGGAGGAGGTGTGTTGGTAGCAGGCAGGGCACAGACCTCACCTCAGGTGGTGAGGAGTCACCCAGTGATGCTCCAGGGCCCTTCTGCCACAGGACCAGAGTCTGGCATCCCGCCATTCCCACGGGTAAGGGGCAGGGCCAGCCACCCCTAGGATCCAGCTTCCAAATGGGAACAGCAAAAGGCACCAAAGACAAGGCACTCCCAGGGACCCCAGGGAAGAATAAAGCAAGATGGATGTTCAGCTTTCCAACCCAGCTCATGGAGCTTTATTCAGAATGGAGTGACAAGATCCTGCTTGGCTCTTGCTGTGCTTGAAGGGCAGGCCCAGCCGGGCCACATTCCCTAGGAACCCAGTGCTGGAGGCCCATGTTTGCCCTCCCACTTCCTTCAAAACTCCTAGGGCCAGGGCTGGGGCCTACCTGGAACCTCTTTCTAGAGCCCACACTTGCCTGGGCCTTGCCGTCTTCTCTTCCCACCCACCACCTGGCACCCCTGCTGCCAGGCCCAGGCAGGACCCACAAATGGGGAAGTTGACAGAGGGATATTCCCTGGGCTGGGAATCCCCTGGCGGCTTCAAGGGAACACTGATGACAGGGAGAAGTCCTGTCATAGCTCTACTGCGGCACACGAACACACACACACACGCACACTCTCACGCACGCTTTCCAGGAAGGAAGTGATGTGGCAGAGTGGCTTTTGGCGCGTGTCACCACTTCCGGCCTAAAGGGTCAGACTGCACAAGACGCCTTCAATCACTGCTGCCAATAACAGTCCCCATGGCCCAACGACACACAGACAGACTCTGTTCTTGGCTGGGGGCAGGTTACCCCAGCTGCTGCCCCCAAACAAATCCTCAGTGAACTGTGAGATCCCAGGGCTTCCCTCCCTGGAAAAGTCAGGACAAGGTTCCACTTGCCTAAACCAGTCTCCGGGTCCTGGACAAGGGAAGACAGAGTCGGGCACAACACCGACTGCGGGGCCCAGACAGGGAGGAAGACACCTCCCCTCCCTCAGCGTGCATCTGTGGTACGAGGCAGAGACCATGAGCTCTCCCACACGGGAGTGAAGCAGGCTGGAGCCCCACGGAGGGAAGGAAGGGCTGGCGGGGGGGCGGGAGGGGAGGAGTGGAGGCTGAGGCTCTCAGCCAGAGATGAGAAGGCTCCTTTAAACCAAAAATGTGGCTCTGCTCCTGCCATGCTCAAGCAAGGAGGGCGAGGCCTGGAGGAGTTGGGGCAATTCCTATGCTTCACAATAAAAAAGGTTTTTAAATATATTCATCAAAATAGTTTTCTTTTAAAAAGCCCCCACTGCTGACAGCCCCACTGGCTGGCTCTCCATCATCTCCCTCCCCAGCCCGGGCACAGCCGGAGGGGTCCTGAGTGGCCCAAGGGCCCCTTTTGAGTCCTTCCCACCCAGGAGGTCTTGGAGGGCAGGGAGGAGAGTGCCCTGAGGTCCGTAGCGGGCGGATGCTCTTCTTCCTGGCTACTCCAGGCCCAGGACGTAGTTGATGCCTTGCACCAGGCCAATGATGACAGGCTGCCAGGCTACCAAGTACCGAAGCCAATCCAGCAGTTGCCCATACATGACGTGAGGCCTCTCCCAGCTGTCAGTGCGTTAAAGAGGCTATGTGTCAGAGCTGCTAAGGCTGGACTAGGGGGTGGGTGAGAGGGAGCCCCCTCACCAGCCTCTCCATGTTAGAAAGGAGGGCTGAACCCAGAGGCTGGGGGATGGAGGGAAGAGGGGACCAGGGCAGAAGACAGGACAGACATGGGAGAAGGGTGGAGAGGTGACACTAAGCTCTCGAGGACCAACACGCAGACAGGGCCTCCCATAACGCCTTCTCGAAGATGGGCCCGCTGGTGTGAGAGCAGAGTCTGAGACTGCTGTGAGTTCCTCTGTGTCAACGGCTGCAGGGACGTGGGCAGTGGGATAAGGTAACCTCACCGGTTCTTGTAGTGTCCCAAATGGAAGATTTTCTAGGCCAAGGAAGGGGCTGAGTCTAGGGACCAAGGCAGAAGGGAACAGGGAGCAAGAGGCTAGTCACAGGAGATAACCCCTGGCAGAGGCTCTAAGGACTCCCCACGCACCATTAACACCAGGCCCTACTGAGGCCCAGCGGCCCCAGAGAGGAGTTCGCTTCCTTTCACTTTAGAGCTAAATGCTGGGCAAGACACTCAGAGAAGGAGTCTGGGAATCCAGCTCTGGGGAAAGCACAGATTAAACCTCATGACACTGTGGGGGAGCCTCTCCAAAAGCATCAGAAAAGAGCAGCCTGGCCCAATCCCTGGGAACTATGGGGAAGCCCCAAGCCTCAGCCTCACCATGGAGTTACTTAACTGTTCTTGAACTAGACTCTAGAAGAACCAAGCAAAGAACCTTAAGGGGACAGGCCAGAGCCTCTGGTTCGGGGGCTGTGGGAATGTGCTGGGAATGCAGTGGTCCCTGCCCGGCCCAGCTAGTGTCCAGGGGATAGGGAACCCTGGCACACAGGGCAGCCGGGAGAGGGGAGGGGAGAGAGCTGGGCCCCTGGATCCCAGGGGAAGTGAAGCGGGGACCAGAGCAGTGGCTGGGCAACTTCCAACAGACAGGTGGTGAGGAGGAAGAGGAAGGTGAGGGAGGGCAGAGTGGGGAGGGCCGGCGGGGCACAGAGCAGTAGCTCGGAGGAGCAGCGGCCCCGTGTTGAGAGGGGATGGAACAGGGCTCCCTCAGCCATCCCTGCACCTTGCAGGCTCTGCACAGGCAGAGTCGGCCTCAGGCCCCACACGTCACAGGTCAGGCCCCACTCATTAGTTATGTAACCTTGAATAGGTTTTTCAACCTTGAAACCATTTCATTTGTAAAATGAGGATAATATTACCTACGTCATCAAGTTGCTAGAGATAATACGGGCCAAGCACTTAACACAGTGCCAGGCGCAGAGTAAGCAAACAGTAAATGGGCTGCTACTGCTACCAATTTACCCCTGAGGGATCCAGAATGATGATGAGAATCTGAGCTGTTAGTCCTGCCCCATGTGCCACCCCCAACTTCCCTCGATCACAAGTCAAATGGAACGGTGGGTATGTACCAGGGTAAGGGGGGACAAGGAAGGGTCCCAGGAAGACCCAAAAGCAGAGTGACACTGGCCAGGACTTTCTTCCCATTGCCCATTCCCAAACAAAGGATACGGGTTGCTGAACATCCTCTTGAGGTCTACCTTCTCTTTGCAGTAGGGACACGTCTGCTTCTTTCCCACGATGCACCAGCCACGGATGCAGAACTCGTGGAATCTGAGCACCACTGGTCAAGGGAAATGGTGGGCAGCCGGGATGGCACTTGAGCCCCATACCCATCATCAAGGTGCCCGTGCACTAGCTCTGGAGAAAGGTTCAAATCCTGGCTTCTCCTCTTTTTAGCTGTATAATCTTGGGCACACCCCTCTCTCTGACCCTGCTTCCTCACATGTGAAGTGAGGATAATGATCTCCATCTTACAGGGTTGTTATGGGGCAAAAGGGACATAATACATGGCACAGAACAGGAGCTGCCCAAGCACATGATAAATACTGGAAATGTTATTCAGGAGGACTGGATTCTGAAACTGAGGGATCCGGCTAGAGGCTGCTCCTCCCAGTAAGTGATCCAGCCTCGAGGCAGCTGGTGCACCTTCAGGCTCCTTTCGGATCCAGCCAGGCTATAAACTCTGTTTACATGGGAGGGGCTCCCAGCTGTGGGAAAGAGGGAGGGACACCGCAGTTTCCACTCCTGGGTGTCAGCTTCTCTGGCAGAGAACATCACCCAAATGTCTGCCCTCTTGTGACTCTCCTGCACTTAAAGGTCTAGACGGTATGCCAGGGTCATGGCCGCCCCCTCTCATCCCTGACTGGAATGTGCATGTGGCAGGAGAGATGAGGCCCAAGGGGCTCCAGGCAGGATACACGTGATTGCAAGACAGCCTATATGTGTTCTCGATGATGCCCTCTTCACTGACATCCACAAAGATCTGCTGCCCACACACAGCACACACACTGTCCGAGAGGTGTTTGGTAGGCATGCCCGACTCGCTGTAGAACTGAGAGGGAAGAACAGGAGGAAAAGACAGGAAAGGTGTGAGAATCAGCCCAAGTAGGACGGTGCCACCGAGGCCTTAGGTCTTCTGAAGAGGAGGCAAAGAGGGAGGGAGAGGCCCTATAGCCAAAGAACATCTTTTATATGCCAAATCGACCTCATCTTTGCTGGGTGGATGGGGGGGGAGAAAGGGACAGACCAAAGATGGGTTGGGAAGTCAGATCTAACAGAATCTGAGCACTTGGCTGGTCAGCATCAGGGACAAGGAGACCGCGAGGTAGAAGGACTCAGGGCTGGTGATCAGGAGCTATGTCAGATAAGCCACTCTGTGGCCAGACTATGCTTCCATCGGAGATGGACAACATCTCTTCTCTAAGATTCAAACAGTCAGATACCCAGTGCAATGTGGGTTTGGTGACAAGGGCATTCCCGCACACTTGTGGAAGCAGGAAAGGGGGTTCAATCCTTTTGGACAGCATCTGGCATGACGTCTCTCAAACTACCTCGCCCTCTAACTGTTGATTAATGACACTTCAAGTAATTAAAGAAGTAAAAATATCAAAAAAGTTTCATGTATACAGATATTCATTTAAGCATTATTTATAATAAGAGTTTAGCAATTTCTCAAAAAGTTAAACAGAATTACCATATGACACAGCAATCCCATCTTTACATATATGCCCCCCTCCATGAAAACAAAGACTAAACACACACTTGTAAGCCAATACTCACGGAAACATTATTCACAACATCCAAAAGGTGGAAACAACCCAAGTGTCCAAAAGAGAAGCAGACAAAACAAAATGTGGTATATCCACACAATGGAATATTATTCAGTCATAAAAATCATGAAGTTCTGATTCATGCTACAATACATGAAACCCTGGAAACAGTAGGCTAAGTGAAATGTCCAACACCAAAGGACAAATATTATATGATTCCATTTGATATGATAAAATACCTAGAATAGGCAAATTCATAGAGACAAAAAGTAGGTCAGAGGTGGCCAGGGGTGGGGGAAGAGAATGGGATGTTACTGCTTATTGGGCACAGAGCTTCTGCTTGAGCTGATGAAAAACTTTGGAAATAGTGGTGACAGCTGAACAACACTGTGAATGTAACTAACGCACTGAACTGTACATTTAAAAATGGACGAAAATAGGGGCGGCTGGGTGGCTCAGTCGTTAAGCATCTGCCTTCAGCTCAGGTCATGATCCCGGGGTCCTGGGATCGAGCCCCGCATCGGGCTCCCTGCTCGGTGGGAAGCCTGCTTCTCCCTCCTCTACTCCCCTTGCTTGTGTTCCCTCTCTCGCTGTGTCTCTATCCATCAAATAAATAAAATCTTTTTAAAAAAAGGAAAGAGGGTATGGAATCCACAGTGCAGGCAGGGCTGGCTTGTGATGGAAGAAAGGACATTTTCTCCACCATAACTGGAGGGAAGGAGAAGATGGGTATAAATATGTGAGTAGAAAACCCCAGCACAAGAGCCTGCACATAGCAGGGGCTCAGGAAATAAAGAGGAGTTGCATTTCACACATCAGAGAATGTGTGCGCCAGGAAAGCCCTGTGAGCTCCTCCAGTCTGCCCCACTCTCTCGACCGGTGAGGACACAGGTGGAGGAGGAGAGCCTCGCCGGAAGTCAGAGAGAGCTGGTGCCTGGTCAGTTCAAACAGATAATTTCAGAAATAACTTGTTGAAAAAGGGAATAAAATACCCATTTCTCAGGGTTATAGTAGATGAGATTCCATGTCACAGAGTGGTCTGAGATGACTTCAGACAACAGACAGCATTCAACAGAGAACTGGCATCTGCTGGTGACTTAGGACTTGTCTGTTCTGTGTCTTCCTCTGTGTGTTGGGTATGATGAAGATACAAAGAAATCCTACAGGGTCTCTGTGCTCCAGGTGATTACAGATATAAAATATGTAACTTTCTAGTACAAAAGTACTGTACAGAAGGTATTCTTGATAAATGTTGGCTACCATCGTCATCCTCAACTAAGTGCCACGGGCCAGGCTACTCTGCAGGGTGCTTTCCCTTATGCGTTTGTTCTTTACAACACTTTATGTCTAGTAATATTATTACAGCTGAGAAAACAAGATCAGAGAGGTAAAGTAAATTGCTCACAGCTAATTAAAAGTGGATTAGAATTTGAAACCACGTCCATGACTCTAACCCCCTAGCTCTTCCCACTACTTCAGCTGTGTCTCTGATGAATGTCATCATCTGTGTCAACAGATGAATGGGCAGCTAGTCCTGTCCTAATGTTATCTGGGGCACAGGAACTTATTTAGAAGAAAGAAAAGTGGGGCGTCCGGGTGGCTCAGTCGGTTAAGTGGCTGCCTTCGGCTTGGGTCATGATCCTAGGGTCCTGGGATCGAGCCCCGCATTGGGCTCCCTGCTCGGCGGGAGGCCTGCTGCTTCTCCCTCTCCCTCTGCCTGCCTGTTGCTCCCCCTGCTTATGCTCTCTATCTCTGTGTCAAATAAAAATAAATAAAAAATCTTTAAAAAAAAAAAAAAAAGAAGAAGAAAGAAAAGTGTGAGGCAGGACACATGGCCCAATGGAGCAGAAACAATGTGCCACGACCCTGCCTGCCCAACAGCTCTGAGTGGAGAGCCCCAGAAAACTGGCTTATTTTCGCAATCCTCTGTCTTCCACCCCCACTCCAACATGACTTTTGGGTCTGAATGGAAACTATAATGACTGGCTGTCACAAGCTTATGACCTCACAGTGACCAGCTAGAAAAAAACAAACACCATCCAAGGTTCCCCTGACTCAAGAAGAGTTACTTTAGTTCATATTACAATTTCTCCACGTGAGGCAAAACAGCTGTCGTGTAGAATAAACAGAGTAGTGTAAAATAATGAAAAGGAATTGAGAATGTGTGTTAATACAACTGTAAACCTCATCATTTCATTTTAGGAACCCTGAAATTAACTAACCACAGATCTTAGTAGGTCAAACCACTCTCGGAGGGGGACCGAGAGATCAATCAGACCTACTTCCCCACCTGGTAGGTATAACAGCTCCAAAATCAACTATAACTCTCTGGGATCGGAGCTATGATCACAGAATGTACAAAACACTATAAAAAACACCTGGGACTAAAAATGTGGCATATACACACAATGGAATTCTTTTTTCTAAGAGGCTACACGCACACACACACACACACAGATACACACGCACAAAGAGATTATTTATTTAGCACCCCTCCCACCAAACACGGAGCTTGAACTCAAGACCCTGAGATCAAGACCCAAGCCAAGATCAAGAGGCAGACACTTAACTGACTGAGCCACCCAGGTGCCCCTATTTATAGCCCTTTTTAAATTGAGGTATACAATGGAATATTATTCAGCCTGAAAAAAGAAGGAAATTCTGACACCTGCTACAACATGGGTGGACCTTGAGGACATTATGCTGAGTGAAATAAGCCAGTCACAAGGGACAAATATTGCATGAGTCCATTTACATGAGGTACCTACAGTGGTCAAATTTATAGAGGCAGAAAACAAAATGGTTGTTTCCAGGGGCTGTAGGGAAAGGGATTGTGGAGTTATTATTTAGGGAAAGGGATTGTGGAGTTATTATTTAAGGGGTACAGAGCTTCTATTTTGCAAAATGAAGAGTTTTATGGATAGATGTGGTGATGGTTGTAGAACAATGTAGATGTATTTAATGCCACTGAACTGTAGCTTTAAAAATGGTTAAGATGGTAAATTTTATGTGTGGTTTAATTTAAAAAAATTACTAGGGCTGCTACTTGGAAGTCAGCAGTGGTGGAGCTAGTAAAGGCTACACACATGGTCATACCTAGCACACTGTGAAAGGTTGATAAGTGTTCTTTGAATAAATGAAAGAATGAGTTGGCTAAAAAATGCATCGAAGGCTGGAGTGTCTTGGCTTCCTCAAATTATCGTCCCCAAACCACTGATCAGGTTCTGGCTTCAAGGCCAGGGATGGTCTTGAAATTCAGATTGCCGTGGCTCAGAGACCCGTGTGTTCCTAAGCAGACCACAGCCCACTTGACCAAAGACTGGGGCAGAAATAGGAGAGTCCTGGAATTCTCAGGTTTGAAAGAACTATAAAGGTAGTGCAGTCTATCCCTTTATCCCAAGGTGGAGTTGTGAGTCCCTTCCTCGACATCCCTGCCTAGTCTAATCTGTGGGCATCCTGAGCCCTAGCAGAAAAGCTGCCACTAAATCTCCGCAACATTTGCTGCGGGAAAGAAAGAATGAATGAATGAACTAGTGACTCACCCAGTACTGTCACAGCCATCCTAGTGTTCCTATGACCTGCTCCCTGCCCCGGAAATGGGGGCCTGGGGAAACAGCAAACTGTTAAGAGTTGGGGTCAGCAAGGTCACATTCTGTTGGACAAGAGCTGGACAGAGCAGCTCCTATGAAAGAGATAGGCACTCTCAATGTCAATTACCTAGGAAAGAGGTGGATCCTTGTACAGATACCAGGATTCAGAAGGCTGGCCTGAGGTACAGGCACTTTTTTATCAGAACACAGGCTCTAGGTCTAGACATCTGGAGGACAGTAGTTGTCTAGATGTGGATTCGAGGTGGTGCATGCTAAGATGGCTTGATTGTCTAATTATTATCTTCACTTTCAACTTCTCAAATAGCTTGCCTCTCTCCCTTCGCACCATCTGTCCCCTAACCCAAGCTACCTTTATCTTGCCCAGACTACTACAACGGCCTCTTAGTCTTCAGGGGTTCACTATAAGCAGTGGACCCCTCTCCAACCTGTTCTAGACCCAGCAGCCAGAATGATCTTTTTAAAGTGCAAATCTGAAGATGTCATTTTTGATCTTAGCCTCCCAGGGTTTTTAGCATAAAAACCACAATCTTTCCTTTGGCTTTCAAGGTTTTTTTCTAGTCTAGCCTCTATTTCTCCAGACACTTCCAGTACATTCTCAGCCCTACAACCACACTAGCCTTAGTTCCTCCAAATGGCCACCCTTTCTCTCACTACAGGACTCTTATCTACACATGTAGTTTGCTCCATCTGCCACCCACATCATTTCCCACTTCATCTGGTTAACCTATGCATCAGCTCAACAGTCACTTCTTTGGGGAAGCCATCTCTGGGCCCCCAGATGAGGTCAAATGCCATTACTGCATTTGTTCATAGCACTGTGAACCTTTCCTTCATAGTATTCCTAAAAGTTATAATTTTATATTTATTTGTTTATTACTTTTTTTTTTTTTAAGATTTTATTTATTTGACAGAGAGAGATAGCGAGAGCAGGAACACAAGCAGGGGGAGTGGGAGAGGGAGAAGCAGGCTTCCCGCAGAGCAGGGAGCCCGATGTGGGACTCGATCCCAGGAACCTGGGATCATGACCTGAGCCGAAGGCAGACGCTTAACGACTGAGCCACCCAGGCGCCCTGTTTATTACTTTAATACCCATCTCTGTCACTAGGGCGTAAACTCCATCTGGGCAAGGACCATGTACACCTTTGTAATTCCAGCACAAGCCCAGTGCCCAGGCACATAGGAGGCATTAAATATTATCTACTGAATGAATGTTAACTTCCTGAATGATCAAGTGGTTCTTTCCTACAATGGCCCTAAAGTTAAAAATCCCAGGGTACATCTGAGATCTGGTTTTCCAAATTTTAAGGAAGAAATCTCCATACATACTACTGATATCTTGAAGGATTTTTTTTATGGCTTAGCTCTTCCATCAAGCCAGTGATGCTATACTGACTTCTCTGAAGTGGCATGACGCAGTAGTGAAAGCCCAGGTGAACTTACCCCTATGGTAGATGCCATGTAGTCTGCACACATTTCTGCAAAGTCTCGCTCAAGAACTCCATAATAGAGGCCATAGAAGAGGAGAGAAATGCCAAAATCCATGGCGTCTTCTGGTTTGATCCTGTAAGGAAAGCAGCATGGCCTGTGAGGCCCGCCCTAAGACACAACTGCTTTGGATTACTACTCTGGGACACATAAGGAGGCACCTAAAGTTGGAAGCCTTAACGGCTAAATCAAGTGTTGGCAAAATAAGACCAGATCTTAAGCCTGTTTTTTATATGGCCTGTTGGCACCGTCTGAACAGGCTAGCACTGTGAGCTACAAAGATCAAGCCAGGGTACTGCCTACCGCCCCTCTTCCCTACTCTGTCCCCAGTGCCTGCCACCACCAACTGTCAACCATGCCTTGCAGCTGTCTAGGGCCCACTCTGGTTGGCACCTACGCATTGGAGACTCCACTGTTGGCAATCACTGGACACCAACCAGTGGAATTTCAGTCTGGAAGTTGGCAACTCACCAAGTTGCCTCACCTCCAGCCAGCTGCCCAAGTTGAAATGGCGGGGCAAGGGTACACCAAGATCTGGGTTGTCACTGGAACAGAAAGTGAAAATGATCCCAGTGGTCACACACCCCCTTGTCAGGCCCCTCCTTCCGAGGATGTCTCATCTGATGGCAAGTGAGCACAAAAGTATGCCTCCCACCTGAGAGAGCCCATCCATCAAACAAGGTGAGGCAAGGAAAGAGTTTCCCCTCTTGTTATAGACTTTGCCTTTTGTCCACAAAGCCTAAAATATTATTTGGCTGCTTACAGAAAAAGTTTGCCAGCCACAGCTTTAGAAATAAAAGATAAAATTAGTCACTTAGCAAATATATACATACCAGTTACCATAAAATTTTAAGCTGTATCTATACATATTCTGTATCATGTCATCAAAGTTAAATTTTGGTCCAGGGGCACCTGGATGGCTCAGCCGGTTAAGCGGCCAGGTCATGATCTCGGGGTCCTGGTATCGAGCCCTGCATCGGGCTCCATACTCAGCAGGGAGCCTGCTTAATGATTCTTCCTCTCTCTCCCTCTCCCTCTGCCCCTATCCCCAAGCCCCCCACTCGTGCTCTCTCAAATAAATAGACTTTAAAAAATGGGGGATGCTAGGGTGGCTAAGCGTCTGCCTTTGGCTCAGGTCATGATCTCACAGTCCTGGGATTGAACCCCACATTGGGCTCCCTGCTCAGCATGGAGTCTGCTTCTCCCTCTCCCCCTGCCCCCCAACTCATGCTCTCTCAAATAAACAAAATCTTTAAAAAAAAATTGGGGGTCCAAGTCTACTTACTAAGGACAAAGATCTTGCCTGTACATTAGGAGGCTTGTTTTAATAATTCCAAGGACCAATAATTTGCAAACTTCAGTCTTTGAACGTTTATTATAGAAAACAACCTTTGTCAAAAATTTGTACCAGGGACTGTACCTGTTTACTTAAAGTTGTAAATTATATTTATCTTAGAAAGTTGAGTGTATTCATCAATCTTATAATATTTAACCCACTAGACATCATAATCTTATACCAATTAACCTGATTAGTAGCATAAAAATGGTCAAGATTCTCAATTCTATCTTCCTCCTTGTATAGTTTATGCAAGTAAAAACAAACTGTAATTAGAGAATAACCATCTTTAATACAATGCAGAATCTTTTCCTTTTCCTTTTTTTTAAAATAGGCTCCATGCCCAGCATGGAGCCCAATGTGGGGCTTGAACTCACAACTCTGAGGTCAAGACCTGAGCTAAGATCAAGAGTTGGATGCTTAACCGACTGAGCCACTCAGGCACCCTGCAATGCAGAATCTGGATTTTTATTTTTTTAACCACACAGATTAGGAAGCTATCTGGAAATATCTTGGCTTTCTTTGATGGGACTTGCTAGACTCTATACTGATGAATTCCTATAAACCTTTGTGGAGACTGGTTATGCTTTTTCCTGGAAGAAAGAATTCCATGGGTATGCTCTCACTATATAAAGTAAGGACTTACTCCTTTCAGTTTCAAAGAGACTCCTGCCTCCAGTGCACTAGATTTGGGAAAGAGGCCAGTGGTCCTGACTTTAAACCTGAATCCTGAATCTCTAGCTTCAAATGCCCGGCCCTAGGCTTAGGATTCCTCATGATCCACAGCCCACAGTCCCCATCACCTCAGCCAGGAGACCACATTTCCATTCTCATCTGTCCTGCTGACTCACTATAACCTATAGTCTCAGAGTCCAGGATTTCTTGGCTTTCTTGGCTTCTGCCTCAACTAGGAGCAGGGGAACCTATACGCTGATACGAATCTTTTTTTTTTTTAAATACTTTATTTGAGAGAGAGCATGAGAGAGAGAGAGAGCACAAGCAGGGGGGAGGGGTAGAGGGAGACAGAGAACCAGACTCCCCGCTGAGCAGGGAGCCCGATACAGGACTCGATCCCAGGACCCTGGGATCATGACCCGAGCTGAAGGCAGACACTTAACTGACTGAGCCACCCAGGTGCCCGATAGGAATCTTTTTGAAATTTTATGACAATATGAAGCAATAGTCAGAATCCGACTCCTGGTAATGTATCCTTAGAAGCAACACAGCTAATATTATCTGTGATAGCACAATATTGAAAAATACCCTAAGTGCCCAACAATGGAGCAGGAGTTAAATGTCCACAGGTTAACTTTCTAAAAAACAGTTTTGGAATGTCAGCTACATTACAAAGCAACAATGTGTTAAACATGACGCATGTGCATCTGAACTGGGAGATTCTTAAAACTGGATGTGTTCCCAGGAGAGGGAAAGCTTCCAAGCCACCCATCTGTGTGGTCTCACCCCCTCACATCTCAGCCCTGGAAACTGCTCTGAGGGCTCCTATGGACACCACTCTGTTTCCTGCCCTGTACCCTTCCAGGTGCACTTGTTGCCAGGTGTGGCCAACTGTGTCACATGAGTTTGTCTAGTTCAGGGGTTGACAAACTTTTTGTGGAAAGGGCCAGATAGTATTTTGAGTTTTGTGGCCCAAATAGTCTCTGCCACAAATACTCAACTCTGCTATTGTTATACTGCAAAAACTGCGATAAACAATGCATAAACAAATGAGTGTGACCGTGTTCCAGTAGAAGCTTTTTTTATCTTGTAAAAACAGGACGTAGACCAATTTGGTCCACAGGACAGTTTGCCAACCCCTAGTCTCCCTAAACATAAGACCACTCAGGTAGAGTCATTGCAATAAACAGTAAACACATGGACAAGGAAAATGACTCTGATAGGGTGATGGATAACTGGCTATAATCATTATTATGCTTAACTGCTGTGATACTTTTCCATTAAAATATAGGTTCTTGGAAAACATAACCAGTGATGGGACTCTAACTCTATATCCAGACATTCCTTCCTCTTTGCCAGCACGAATCATGGAGGGCCCACGTTCCCATTCCCCAAAGCCCAAGTCTCCTATCCTGGGTGCCATGGCCCCCTTATTAATATTCAGGACTTGGCTTCAGGAGGAAAGGTACATCTTACCAGCCCCTCCTCCCCAAACACAAACAAAAACAAAAGCAAAGAGTACTTACTTGAATAATAAATTGAGACCAAAGAGGGTAAACATGACAGCCATGTAGCCAACAATGCCAGTGGCATAGCTGATTTTATAGATCAACAGGAACCACTTATAAACCAACCTGGAGAAAGGAAAGAAAATTAGCATAGCTGACATAGAAACTTGCCTAGGGGCCTCTGGATTACCAGAATCTCTTATTCTTACATCAATAGGGACATTGGGTTATTTGCCTAAGACTTACTAAGCAACTTCAGTTACTGTTACAGACCTGGTCACTCTCTTAATTGTAGAAATACCCCTGCATACCAGGGAGCTAGTGCTTTCTATTTTCCTGGTCCCAGACCAAGGGAAGAAAAGGGAGCCTTATAAGGTTTCAGCTTCAAACAAACAGAAAGCACAGCTGACATCAGACAGCTATGCCCTCTCAAATTCAGATTAGCTGAATAAGGAAGTGAAAACTAGTAACTACAGCTATGTTCAGATGGGAAGAGGTGGGGAAGGCCAGCTGTTCTTGTCAGGAAAGAGAATTCAAGGGAAGGTGGAAAAGAGAGATAATCAGCTATGGGCTTCCCCCCCCCTTTTTTTAAAATATTTATTTATTTAAGTCATCATTATACCCAACATGGGGCTCGAACTCACGAGTTCAAGCTCCTGAGATCAAGAGCTGCATGCTCTTCCGACTGAGCCAGCAAGGCACCCCCAGGCTTTTCCTACTGGGAACGGTTAACCTGAATACCGCTTTATTCCTATCTACAGGCCAATAATGAAATGGTGTCTAATGAATTTGCTTTTGAAATGATTTTCTTTCTGGAGAAGAAGGGATAAGAAAAGAGGCACTCAAAGAATACCTTTGAATGGATGTATGTGTGTGATGGTGGTGGGGGGGTGGGGGGGCTCATAGAATGCTCTTGAAGGAGGAGCAATGCTCTCTAAAATTCAATGAGAAGCAGCGTGAAACCAGGATGGTGAGAGCAAATTGAGGAATTCACTTGAATAAACAGCTCAAGCCTGTCTGGCTCCTGAGACCACGTTACCACCAACCTTGATGGGCCGCAGGGAGGAAGCTCAAGGTCCCTCCCTGTGCCTGCGTGCTGTGGCTAAGCAAGTGATGGGTTCTTAGGCAAGGGAAAGGCCCCAAACATTTTGTAGTGCCTGCCCTCAGAAACCACACAAAGCTCCATTATCCAGGGTTTGCACTCATCAGATAAGAGTGAGACAGTGGAAAGGATGTGGAATTTTAGGTAGAATCTGGATTTAAGTGAGTTTTATTAGCTGGGTAATCCCAGGTAAATCAAATCACCACTCTAAGACAAGTTTACTTATTTGTAAAATGGGGAAACCATGATACCTTCCTCAATGGACTGTACAGAGCCCATTTCCTGGTGTACATAATACATGCTCAATAAATGCTACATGAATAAGCATGGATGTTTATGAAAGGGCTTTGAAATTATAAAGCACTATCAAATGTTAGTTAATATCATCAAAAACCTCCCATGTCATAGACACATTTTTAGTCATCTTACCTACCAGTTGATACTGGTTATTACTTACTGACACTTAAAGTATATTTTTACACCGTTTCTTCACAGCACCCTTTATGAGGGAGCAATCATTGTCACATTTCTAGGGATAAAAAATTCAAGGCTCAGAAAGGTGAAGCCATACAGGTCATGTAATTAAGTGGCAGGGCTGGAGTTTCCAATCCACATCCATCTGGCTCCAGAGTCTCTATCTTCTATCATGGCCCTTAATGTAAACTACCACAGCCAGGGAGGAACTTCCAAGTCATCAACTTCACCTTGAAGATAAATTTTACCATGTACAAGGAAACTCAGACGGCCAAAGTAAAACCTCACAGTGAAGCGGAACATAAAATGCATGGGAAAAAGGGCAACTTGCAACTTGGAAGCCTTTGGTTCTGGTAGTTACAATTTTGAGGCTGGCTAGTTCCTTTGCTAGGCTCTCCTGGACCTGTACACATGTCTCTCACAGCACTTACCAACTGCACTGAAACAGCTGCTTTCTGGTCCATCTCCTCCATTAAACCGAGCATTCCTTGAGGGCAGGGACCATGTCTTATCCAGCTCTGTATCCCCAGCGCTCAGCACAGGGCCTGACACATAGCAGGTGCTTGTTGAATGAATGAATGAATGAGAAAATCTTTCTGTCAAGTACAGATATGAAATGACCTCACAAGCTGGTTGGGAGGATCAAACTAGAAATGCATTTGGATAAAATACAAAGAATAATACAGGCAGGGGCTGTTTTGTGACCAAAGAAGTATTGTTTGTTGAAAAATTGCAAATTCACTGAGATTCATTCATTCAACAAAAATTCACAGAGTAGGCTACTATGTGCCAGGCCCTGTGGTAGGGCCTGGATATACAGGGACAAATAAAATACATGTGGTTCCTGATCTCACAGTTATAGTTTAGTGGGGGAGATAGACACTCAAGATTTTGTGTTATGTTCTATGATGGAAAACTATAGGGCCTATGAAAGAATATAACAGAAAACCTAATTTAGAGATCAGAGAAGGGTTCACAAAATAACATTTAAAATGAGACCACAATGATCCCCAGAATTTGCTTACTTATTTGGTTGCTTTAAATATACATAGACCTTGATATAAACTCTAAGGTAAGCTATAGGGAAATATTTTGGGGTTTTTAATCTGTGAATGGGGGGGCAGGTAGTTCTCCCAATCAGCTTGTTTTGGTGGGGGCCCATGCCAAATAATTTTGGCAAACAAAAATTACAACTTTTTCAGCCTAAACCCACCCCAATCCCATGCATTTCAACCCGTTCCCTTCAGGAAACCTAGCTCTTCCCCACTACCTAAACTCTCACCTTGGGGTTGTCTGTACTAGTGGTTTTCGGGTGGCTCGGAAGGTGACAAAAGCTGTGACAGCAGAGAACAAGATCCAGATCACTAGGAACCTCCACCAATGCAGCTTCACTGTGAAATAGAGGGGAACAACCCACATCTGAAAGAGGGTCACCATCTGAAACACAAACACAAGCACTTCAGCTCTAGCCAGCTCCCTCTGTGCTCTATCTGCAAGTCCAGAGTGTATGTTCTATGTTCCATTTTAGCCTGATCTTCTCCTATATCTCCAATGTTGGATAGAGGCACCTCCTAGTGATCTAACTTAGAAACTTAGGACCATGCCTGACACCTCTCTTTCATTCCTCACCTACCTGTTTTCTTTCCATGTGAGCCCTGGCTATCCCTTGCCTGGCTCACTACAATGACCTCTTTGTTAAATCTCCCTGCATTCAGCATCCCCTTCTTCAATCTGTCCTTCCCAGGAGCACAGGAATGGTATCTCTAACATACAGTCTTGAACATGTTATTCCCCTGCTTACAACCTTCTAATGGTCCCCTGCATACAGGATAACACCCAACATCCTTAGGCAGTCAAATCCTCCACAATGTGGCCCCCAACTACTATTTCAAGAGTGACCTTCTACTACTTCCCATGCCGTTAGTCAGGTTGTCCCCCTCAGGCTAAAACATCCTTTCCACTTGCCTTTCTGCCTGATAATATCACATCCAAGATACATGAAGCCTTCGATCTCCTTTCCAGGCAGAATGAATCATAACTTTCTAGTGCTCCAAAAGCACTTTCTTTTCTACCATCATTACAGTGCTTATCTAGAGTGTGCTTCAAATTCGTTACCTGAATGTAAGCTCCTTGAGAGCAGTGACTAGGCCATATTCATCTGTTTCCTAGGTGCTAGGAAACAGTCTAGCACACAACAGATCCTCAATAAACTTAGATACGTGAGAAGAAAGCAAAACTAGAACCCCAAACAGAGGCATGTTTCTGCTGTAAGGGGTGTCTCAGAACTCGGACTTGTCAGCTGAAGAGTTCCAAATGTATACAATGATTCTAAGTCAGAAGTTTGGACTGATCACCAGTCTTCCATTCCCTGGTGCCTCCTAACTCCCTCCACCAAACACCCTGCTTTCACTAGCTGTCACTCTGCTCAGGTGAGTAGCAGGTGTTTAAAAAAAAAAAAGGTAATTAGTACTTAATGGAGGCTTTCTTCCTGATGTCATCAAATAAAATGAAAGAACACACAGGGATGAGTTATAGAGAGGAAAATGATAGTTTCCTAAAGTTCCATAGTGGAGAAAACTTTTGAGAAAGTATTTACTTGGGGATTTCTAGACCAGTGCTACCTAATCAAAACATAATGGGAGTCACATATGTAATTTTAAGTTATCTAGTAGTGACATTTAAAAAAGGAAAAAGAAACACTGGTGTTATTTTTAAAGATTTTATTTATTTATTTGAGAGAGAGAGAGAGAGCAAGCGAACAGGGGGAGAGACAGAGGGAGAGGGAGAAGCAGACTCTGTGCTGAGCACAGAGCCTGACGTGGGGCTCGAGCTCACGACCCCAAGATCATGACCTGAGCTGAAATCAAGAGTCAGATGCTCAACCAACTGAGCCACCCAGGTGCCCCCAGATGATATTAAATTAAATAATATATTTTATTTTATCCAATAGATCCAAAATATTATCATTCCAACATTTACTTCATATTAAAATTATTTATGAAATATTTTACCTTTTTTTGTACTGAGGCTTTGAAATCTGATGTGTACCTTATATTTATGGCATACCTTCAAGAGAGACTAGTCACATTTCAAGTGCTCAATAGCCATATGGTAATGGTGGCTCCCATACTGGACAGTGTAGCTTAGAGCATCTTGTTAGCATTTAGTTGTCTCCTGTAGCTTCTAATAGACTGCTCTGTGGCAAGAAAAAGCCTTAGTGTTTTAGTGTTATTTTACATAGGAGAAAAAAAGAGAGAGAGCAACACTGAGAGGAGAATGGTGAGCAGATCCCACTTTGCTTTAGAGCTTACGGTTCCGTGTGCTCACTGGTGCAGGCTAATGGTCAGTGAACAATGTAGTCTCAGTACCCATTCTACTGTACAGGAACCCCCAACCAACTCTCCGAATGAAACACCCTAAAATATTCTGGCCTTATATGAAAAGTGTGGGAGCACTGGGACATACTAACAAATGGCTACCCAAATAACACTCCAGGTAACATTCTATGAGATAATGGGAGACCAGGAAAGGACATCGTAACAAACCATATATTATTTAAGCTAGGGGATAAGAGGGACGCCTGGGTGGCTCAGTCGGTTAAGTGTCCAACTCTTGATTTCGGCTCAGGTCATGATCTCAGGGTTGTGAGATCAAGGCCCATGTTGGGCTCTGTGCTCAGTGGGGGAGTCTGCTTGGGGTTCTCTCTCTCTCTCCCTCTGCCCCTCCCCCTGTGCATGCACTCTCTCAGTAAATAAATTTTTTTTAAATCTTAAAAAAAATACTTTAGGGGCACCTGGGTGGCTCAGTCGTTAAGCGTCTGCCTTCGGCTCAGGTCATGATCCCAGGGTCCTGGGATCAAGCTCCGCATAGGGCTCCCTGCTCTGCAGGAAGCCTGCTTCTCCCTCTCCCACTCCCTCTGCTTGTGTTCCCTCTCTCGCTGTCTCTCTCTCTGTCAAATAAATAAAATCTTTAAAAAAAAAATAAACTAGGGAATAAGACAACTGGAATCATGATATTCAAAGGGAATAAATAAATGGTGGTGAGATGTGGAAAGAAGAGCTGCAGGGTCTTTAGCCTTCACATCGTTTGCTTACAAAACAGCAGGCCCAGAGACTACAGAAGAATAAATTACAGAGTCTGGTTACATTTGTCTTCTCTGAGAAAAAAAAAAAAAAAGAAATTCCTCCAAAAACCTGGCTATTGCAAAAAAAACCAAAAAACCAAACCAAACCAAAACAAAACAAAAAACCAGCCTGTCCCCTACCAGCCTTTTTTTCACTCCTCACCAATCATCAATAGCATGTTCTAAGAAGGAATCTAGTAAAGATAATTTTCTCTACATGGGCTGTAGCTCTGCATACTTTGGGTGCGGAGAGAGGCAAAGGACCTGGATTCTATTCTGGGTTAAATAAAGGCATAATCAGGAGTAGAAATCAGTGTAAAAGGAATGAAAAAAATCTTGCCTTGCTTTGTTAACTGTGAGGCTTAAAACTTTAAGTGTATAAAGCTACTCAACTCACATCATGAAAGAAAGAGAAAGAGAAAAAAGGAAAGAAAAGGAAGAAGGAAAGTAGGGAAAGAGGGAGCAATTTAGGGACAGGGTTAGGTTCTTTCAAACCAGATGGCTAAGTAGAAGACCAAAAGACCTAGATTCTAGTTCTGTGTGCTTCCAAACTCACTGGGCCACCCTAAGGAGGTCCTTCCTCCTTGAGGGCAAGGTTTGACTTGATTTTTCAAGCCCCTTTAAGTTCTAACATGCTAAGGTTCTATTAAGCAGCCTTGTATCTCAAACTTCCTGGGAGAGCAAAGGCAGTGTTCACTCACTGGTACATCGAGTATTTATTTTGCATTTAATGGAAAGAAGAATGCAGAAATAAACATGACCCCCTAGTCCCTGTCCTCAAGGGCCTAACAGTCCAGTAGCAGGAGAAAAATAGAAATCAAACCCAAACCTTTAATTTAATGATTCTATTAATCTTTAGATGCTTTTAAAAAAATTTTTTGTTTTAAAGTTGTTTTTTTTTTTAAGGTAGGCTCCGCGCCCAGCATGGAGCCCAAGATGAGGCTTGACCTCACAACCCTGAGATCAAGACTGGACTCTGAGCTGAGATCAAGAGTTGGACACTTAACCAACTGAGCCACCCAGGAGCCCCTAGAGATTTTATTTTTAAGTAATTTCTATACCCAATATGGGGCTCAAACCCACAAACCAACTTAATCAGACAGGCACCCCTCTTTAGATGTTTTTTAGAAGTTCAAATAAAAATCATTAAAGAGTGAATAAATAAAGTAGATTGGTATAGTGAAATGACTGGAGATTTTAAAGAGATCTAGATGTGAATCCCAATATAGCTATTTACTGTATTATCTTAGGTAAGTCATTTATCCCTGATAAGCCTAAGTTTTCTGAACTGTAAAACGGGATTAACAGTATCTACCCTCAAAAGATTGTATAGAGGGGCGCCTGGGTGGCTCAGTCGGTTAAGCGTCTGCCTTTGGCTCAGGTCATGATCCCAAGGTCCTGGCATCCAGCCCCGCATCGGGCTCCATGCTCGGCAGGAAGCCTGCTTCTCCCTCTCCCACTCCCACTGCTAGTGTTCCTGCTCTCACTATCTCTCTCTCTGTCAAATAAATAAATAAAATCTTTAAAAAAAACAAGCAGAGTGCATAATTCATAGTAAGCGTTCAGTAAATGAGAGCTCTCACTAGGTCTTCACGTGATCAAAATTGCATAAAGTCAAATGTAATAAGGGAGCAAAGACTGCAATGAGACAACCAAAATAATCAACATACTGAAAGTAGTGGGGTTATAATGAAATAGAGACCAAAAAAAAAAAAAAAAAATACAAAAGATCAATGAAACCAAGAGCTGGTTGTTTGAAAAGATAAAGAAAATTGATAAACCTTTAGCCAGACACAAGAAGAGAAAAAGAGGACCCAAATAAAATTAGAAACAAAAAAAGAACAATCAACACCACTGAAATACAAAGAACTGTAAGAGACCACTACAAAAAATTATATACCAAAAAACTGGACAACCTAGAAGAAGTAGATAAATTCCTACAAACATAGAATCTTTCAAAACTCAATCTGGTAGAAACAGAAAATCTGAGCAGACAGATTACTAGTAATGAAATTGAATCAGCAATCAAAAACCTCCCAACAAACAAAAGTCCAGGACCAGATGGCTTCGCAGGTGAGTCCTACTATTTAAAGAGTTAATACCTACTATTTAAAGAATAATACCTATTCTCCACAAACTATTTGAAAAAGAAGAAAAGGAAAGCTTCCAAATACATTCTATGAGGCCAGCATTACCCTGATACAAAACCACACAAAGACACTACAAAAAAAAACAAAAAACCAAACAAACAAAACACCTACAGGCCAATATCCGGCATACACATAGATGCAAAAACCCTCAACAAAAGTATTAG